GTTGGGACTTCAAAATCACTTTGACATATCCATGGTATTCGAGATATCAGTGTTTGAGATACCGAAGTTCGACTGTATAATTAATATAATTCGACTGTTTTACAGAAGTATGGAAGCACACAAGCTGTTAATACAGTGGTTCGTTTTGCCGAGAGGAAATCCTCCAGTGATTCAGACTCTGGGAACGACACCCAGGTGGCTCTGGCCAAACTCTACGCCCATGTGCAAATGATGCCCGACTCATCAAAAAAGAAGAAGTTACTCAAGCAGTTCAATCAGGCCAGTGGTTCAGCTCCTCCCAAGAAACACTCCAGGAGTAAGACCCTGGGGGAACAAATTAAGGTAGGTAGTTCAATATACTATGCATTTGTAAAATAAATCAAAGTATGTGATGCACACAAACTGAGAGATTGTTTCATCAACATTGAAAATATATGTGTGCATGTTTTTAAACTTCTTTTTTGGCAACTCTTGGGGAAGGAATCCTGTTTTCTGCCAGTAAATGATCTCTGAATGGAATAGTAAACATGGGAACAATATTTAATAAATTTCTTGTGTATTTTTCCTACAGAAGCATTTTGGGAGTCTACACAAACATCACAAGAGAAGAGGCTCCAATGATGGAAGTAAGCTGACAGGAAGTGTACCCTGGACTCTAACTAAAACAATCGACATTGACGAAAATGACAACATCCACCATGATGATGTGTTCATCACAAAAACTCCTGATGGCAAAACAACAATAGGACTGAAACAGGTAAGCATTGTTGTCAAATAAAGATATTGTGTTTGAGAGTTTTGATATTTGACCTTAAATACTCTTAATTTGTTTAAAGATTTTATTCCTATAGGAATATCCATGTGTATCTAACTTTGCACTTTGATTCAAATTATCTGGATTTATGATTTTTTTGGTTTCATTTTCTGCAGTCTTTGTCTTCATTTCTTTTACAGCCGGGTAGTCCAGCAGTTCACATAGTAGATCTGAGTAAAACTCCGACCCAAAAACTCAAACCCAGAAAGAGGCGGAGTAGTGGTAGTAGTGACGGGAGTATTCCAGAGAAGCGGCCTTCTCCAGAGAAGATTACTAAGGTTCCCTGTACAGAGAATGAGATTCAGTACCTGGCCAGTATCCCCCATCAGCGTCGCCATTGCCCCTGTACCCCCAAACAGCTTCACAACAAACCCATAGCTATGGTGTCACCAATGAATCAATCTCCCATATCAGAATCTGTGAAAAAAATTCCCTCCAAAACACAAGTAAGATGATATGAGAATTTCATTTTGTAAAGCTAATAATAATCTGATACTAAGATTGTGTTGTCAAATTGACTGCTAGGGTTTATTTCAAAGCCGAGTGACAAATAGTAAATAATGTTATTCATTGATATATAAGTTAATGTTATTCATTGAGACAGTTTGAGTCATTATATAGTCTATTTATAGTACACTGTAGTTCATGTTTCAGCAATGAATGCTGATTGTAATTATTAACATGATTTTAAAACTGTATCAAGGTATTTTAAGTCCATTACCTTTTTGTTCTTTCAGAAAGCCATGCATACACCGAGATCCAGAATGCCTCTTCTAGTCATCCAATCACCGACAAATTTATCTCGAGAGAGTGTATTGTAAACATTTCCTAGTGTTCAACAGCTAGTGCTAAAAAACATTCCATATCAGAGTCACAAAGATGGACAGTTTTATATAGTGTCAAATTGTACAGAAAGTGCTGTGTATATTTTTTATATGTGTACAGTGTATAGAAAATTGTACAGTCTTCAAACATTGTTCTATAAAGGGAGATAATGCAGTTAACATTAATGAATGTGATACTCGTTATTTAGCTCCTTTCCATTGTAAATGTGTACTTAATTAATGTGCCATTACCAGATTTACTTGGCCTTCTCTCAGAAGTCAAGTTTGTGATAACCGATTGCCCTTTTCTCACCAAAGGGTCTGAAGAGATTTTGTATCTTAGTGCTTTTATTTCTGTATTGGTGTCCTTTTCCTGTTCATATCTGACAATCTTCTCTCAACCATATCTTAATTCTTATATCTAACATAGAAACTTTCACAATCCACTGTTTCTCATATAGTGCTTTGGCAGATATTATGTTGTTTGACCTTTCAATGTTATTGTGGTCTTGGTATGTATTCTTACAAAGTGGTCAATTCAGGTGTGAAATAATCATAAATAAATAAATATTACCTCATTTCAGATAACATGTCAATATTGTTTTGTCTTTTATTTAGTGTATAATAAAGAATTTAAAAGTGTTTTCAATGTTTCTTTTTTTATAGAAGGAGCAAATGAACTCTGACAACTGTCAGCCATTTCTAACTGACCCTTAATCTTGGCTTCACATATTTTCTTGTACTGTGCTGTACTCATTTTTGTACACTTTGGGATCCTCTTATACAGATAGGCCATAGTGAGCATTCAACATTTTGTGATTTGGGCTTCATTACTTGCTTAGATCTTTTGACAAAGACCATTCCAATTTTCAAAAACACACCAGCCAAAAATTAAAACACAAACTTCATTGTCATAAAGACATCATCATTTGGAGAATTTTTGATTTCAGTATTCTATTTTTCTTGTAGAAAGGTATATTCCTTAGCAGATGAAGGTAGTAAATGCTAAGTATTTATAGATTCTCTAAAAATAAAGAAAAAGTTGACAGAATTGAGAGGTTTCCACAAATACCATCAATTTCTGGATTTCTGATTTTGATCTGGGGTGTGAAATCCAAGGCGCTTGCAAATGTTAAACAGAGAAAACAAAAACTTAAAATGTCATAAACTTTCCTTCTGCCTACAATCTTGATTTTACATGTATTTCTTGAAGGACTATATGTAGTAATTTAGGTTGAATTCAAATCAAGCACAGTTCTGCCATGATTTGATCTTTTTTATAATGTATGAAATGATTATTTAATTGAAATAAGAGGCCCATGGGTCACAAAGCTCATCTGAGTCACCTTGGTCCTGCTGGTCCTTCAGAAGATGTTTTTAGCTCACCTGAGCTGAAAGCTCAAGTGAGCTTTTCTAATCACCTGTTGTCTGTCGTACGTCTGTAAACTTTTCACATTTTCAATGTCTTCTCAAGAACCACTGAGCCAATTTTAACCAAAGTTGGTACAAACCATCCTTGAGTAAAGGGTAGTTTAAACTGTTAAAATGAAGGACCAAGCCCCCTTACAAGGGTAGGTAATCAAGAAAAGACAAAAATAGGGCGGGCCATTAAAAAATCTTTTTCTCAAGAACCACTGGGCCAGAAAAGCTGATACTTATGTGGGAGCCTCCTGAGATAGTGTAGATTCTAAATTGTTCAAACCATAACCCCAGGGGTCGTTTTACATTGAAATATAATGGAAACATCTTTAAAAATCTTCTCAAGAACCACTGAGCCAGAAAAGCTGAAACTTATGTGGAAGCTTCCTGAGGTAGTGTTAATTCTAGTTTGTTCAAATCATGACCCCTGGGGGTAGGGTGGGTCCATAATAAGGAATGAAAGTTTTACATTGAAATATAAGGGAAACATCTTTAAAAAAATCTCCTTCTCAAGAACCACTGGACCAGAAAAGCTGAAACTTATGTGGAAGCATCCTCAAGTAGTGTAGATTAAATTGTTCAAATCATGACCCCAGAAGGTAGGGCGGAGCCACAATAGGGAATTCCCAAGTTTTACATTGAAATATATAGGAAAAATCTTTAAAAATCTTCTTCTTAAGAACCACTGGGCCAGAAAAGCTGAAACTTATGTGGAAGCATCCTCAAGTAGTGTAGATTCTAAATTGTTCAAATCAGGACCCCCAGGGGTAGGGCGGGGCCACAATAGGCTATCTGAGGTTAAAATATGTACAAACCAGTGGCAGATTTAAGGGGGAGGGGATGTGGCAGATTTAAGGGGGAGGGGATGCACCTGGCGCGGCCCCCTAAAACTGTCAAAGTTACTGTAAATCATCGTTTTGTCGAGAAAATGTAAAAATATCTATTCGGTAGACCTCATTTTTACCCTATAAAATCTCTAGTATTCAGGAGCTTCTGGGGGCTTCGCCACCTGGGCTTTGCCCTTGACCCACTGGGGTCCTCAGGGTGGCCCCCAGACCCTCTGCCTACTTTTTGCACCCCCTAACATAAATTCCTGGATCTGCCCCTGCAAACTCACAATCAGTTATCTAATAGAAATTTTTATGCCCCTGCTATGAAATGGTAAGGACACAAAATGATTATCCCTTTTAATTTGTCTGTCATTCCGTAACAGTTGGTTTTCTGAACTAATTTACTATGCTTGTAGATAGTAAGCTGAAGTTTGGTTTGTCTCTTTATATTGATGATAAAATCTGTAGCATCTGCTATGAATTGCTTTAAACTTTTCACTTCTGTCAAACATTCTTTCTCTGTATTAGTTGTTCAACAAAACATCAGCAGCTCATACATGTACTATAAAGTTTTCTGACTTCATCATTGATAGCAGTTTAAAAAGAAATCAGAGGACAATCATTTTATTTTATCATTTAAATTTTTCCTTCACCTTACACATCATTTTACAAATTCAATCAGGTAACTAGCCACTGGAAAATCTCCTTTGTATCAGGCAATTTTTATTTAATGATGTAGAACTATACAATACTTAATTTACTTGGATTAGCCTGCTATCATACGGATGCTATAACTAGTGCAGTGTCCTGTGCCGTCCTCATCATCAAACTTCATGCACTAATACAAAGTGGTGAGAGCTATTCAACTGTGTCATAATTCTTTTTACCTTAACCTTCCCCTTGTCCTTGACCTCACTATTCCCCATTTCTTTTAATGTTGCATTACCAATAAACCCTGGGCAGGGCATTCATGTCCTAAGTACATATTTCTAGTTATCTTTGCAAACTACTGCGCTGTAGTAGTAACTAAGATTCACCTAACAAGAGTAGTATGGAACATCATCATTTTTATCAGACAGATCATCACTGAAGTCTCAACAGGAAAAACACAGATCTAGTGAAGCACCTTTAATTCATACATGCCTACATTATCAACTCCTGGAAATGTGCATATAATAAATATTATAAATACATGTACATGAATAAGTACCTAATATGCAATCATATGTCTATACTAAATAAAAACCTAAAATAACATAAATAATTAAAATTTTTATGATATAAATTCTCATAAGTCTCTCAGTTCACCTCAGATGTCACATCATACTGGTAAAAAATAAAATCTTACTGAAATAAAAAACACAACAGTATAACAAATAGAATGTAAGATCTTGACACATGTAACAAAGACCACTGGTCCACATCGCAAATGTTGTATTTTCCCAAGAAACCATCGCTAGATTTCTCTGTTACGATAAGAAAAAGGCACCTGGTACCTTTCTCTGAGAAAGCTTTACAGTAATTTTTTATAAACATTAACAACATCACTGTACTTCTACAACAATCTTTACACACTAACATCAAACATAACACTGTAATGCAAGTCTGTATGGTAAAACTTGGAGACAAGGTTAACATAAAAGACAAAAATAGTTCAAAAATTGTAATTGCACTTGTGATAATTAAAATTACATATACATGTACAATAAAAGTTTAAATACTGAAAACAACACAATCATGCAATACCTGATGGTTGGACAATGATAAACACAGTGTCCAGTGTGTGTGGAGCCTACAGTGAAGATCTACAGATGACAGCTAGCAAACGGGAGGTCAGCGGAGGTTCTTATTGCACAAGCAGGTTAGAATATATCTAAGTTGATTGAATTGACTCTCAATATCTTGTTTAAAATGACATCTTTTTAAAAAATCCTTTTATTATAATACCTTTTTCATTGCTGACTTGCTAAATAATGACTATGATTTTAAAATTATCTTTTTCATACTTTAGGTTTCAGTTCCGTAATACAAGAGTAGTATATGTTTTATGTATATTTTCTTCTATTTGAATTCACATTCAACTGTTGAAATTCAGGTATTTGGTTGGGGGATATTTTTAGGTGTGCATGTGCAAAAATCATAAATAGTAAAATTTTCAGCATCAAAATGGTCCCATATGTAAAGCAGATGGCACAGATTCAAAACTCCATATTTATCTATAAAAAGTTAATTTTGTCACATAGTACGCGTACGTATTCAATAAATCAGATTAAAAGTGCAAACTTATAGAAAAATTGTGAAATATTGACTAGATAATTGCATATACATGTGTACTCAAAAATATCTCATTCAACAATTAAATTTCAAAGAAAGAAGATAATTGCATGACAAAAATAAAAAATACATATATCAAACATACAAAGAACAAAAATATACACAAAGATCCAGTCAGTTTACAAAAACATAACATATAATGTACATAAATATTGTACTCAACATATTACTTTGAAATATAGCACTACTGGTTTTAGGCAATCATTAAATAAAAGGTGTACTGTCACAGCCTTCAAGTTAGCTTACTTAAGAGGTACTTAATAAAAAAAAAAATCAGGGCAAATGGTATAAGACAACCAATGTGAACAAACCTGTTCCTGAATTGATTTTCATTGCACATTGAAACCCGAATTCACAGAGTGATAGAAATCTGAAATAATTACAATGATTTATCACCCGAATTCACAGAGTGATAGAAATCTGAAATAATTACGATGATTTATCACTGCTGTTACTACTGGTCTCCTCAAAGTCGTCGTCGTCGTGGTGATGGGTGACTTTTGTCGGGGTGGAGGGACGAGAGTGGGGTAAGTGGTGAACTTTGGCGTACTTGGACCCAGAACTCACAGATCGTTGTCTAGCGATAGTAAAGTCATCAGCCGGTGCTGTGGTCTCATGTGACACAGTCGATTCATGAGGCAACTACAAATATGCAAGAATATCTAGGCATGAAGACTTAGCATTCAAATACTAAATAACAATAGCTTGTAAACTGTTTTTGTGAGCATTGAGATTTCATAAACGCCAAAAGAGTGATTTTTCTTTCCCTGTGACATTCTATAATTACTACCCAGAATAATTAATCACATTCTTACCAACATTGCAGGTGCTCTGAACATGTAGGTAAAGGGGTAATGGATAAGGTTGATGACAGAAGCCGCATAAATATCAGCAAATCGCTGGACCTGTGAAGAGAAGAAGGTTAACCGGGAACCTGAAACGAGAGACACATGGGTTAAAACATTCATCCGAGTCACGATTCTTTCTCTCTTCCAAATTAATATTTAATGAGAATCCTTTTTGTGAGCCCCAAACATGAAAACTGAAGATGCTTACTGGTACTTGATCCATTTACCCATAGTCACCTTAGCAATATAGGCCCATAATTCAAGCTTTACTGTATATTGATAATCATGAACATTGAGAAAACACTTCTGGAGCTTCCTCATAAAAATACTTCAGATTTAATGCTTTCTTTTGTTTCAAACTGGTAAACTTACCACTTCGGAATAAACTTCCAAGCATTCCATACGACAAGTCTAATTCATGCACTGTGTCCTAAAATCAAGAAAGTACTCATATTAATTGCAAATTACAATGTTAACTAAGCCTGTAGTTTTTGAATTGATACATTTGAATTTCATGTACATTTACATGAAAGACCAAAGCTCTTCTTATTTCAACAAAAAAAATACAGAGCCATTTTAATCAAGCTCAAAACCCTAACAAACAACAAAATTTACAATTCATAACTTTTAAAAAATATCATCAAATTTTGTAATGCACTTTTAAATGATCAAATATTTTTTATAATAATTCATTAAAAAGTGCTGATATTTATAGTTTATGAAATCTACTAAGCAATTACCATCATGGCTCTCTGGACATTGGTTATGTCTGGTTTTTCCAAATTACTGCTGTCTAAGTTTCTAGAAAGAAATAAACCAAATAGTATTTAAATTACTATTCAATTTTTCATTAAGAAAAACAGTACAATTTTTTAGTGTCAGTTCAAATCATTTATATTATACGATTCATGAATCGTATCGGCCTCTTAGTTTTTCCTGTCTCTTGCTTGTTCATCCCACTTCATTAATAAATGCATTTCTATAACAAGAGGCCCATGGGCCACATTGCTCACCTGAGCACATTGGCTAGGAAAAAAAAGCAAAAATTAGTACAGTATTGAAAAGTTTACAGGGAAGGGGGGTGTTGAATTTTAAACTACCTGATGATGCTTTCATATCAATATAACAAATGGCTTTGTTGTTCTTGAGCAGCAGATTTTTTTCCCATATATTCATTTGTAAAAATTTGATCCCCCATTGTGGCCCCATCCTACCCCCGGGGGCCCTCATTTGAACAAATTTCATTCTACACTACCCAAAGATGCCTCCATATCAATTTGACTAATCATGGCTTTTCTGTTCTTGAGAGAAAGATTTTTTCCTATATATTCCTCTGTAAACTTTGATCACCCATTGTGGCCCCAACCTATCCCCGGGGTAATGATTTGATCAAACTTGAATCTTCACTATCTGAGGATGCTTCCATATAAATATGACCAATCATGGCTTTACTGTTCTTAAGAAGAAGATTTTTAACGATATTTTCCTATATATTTCTATGTAAAACTTTGATCCCCAATTGTGGCCCCACCCTACCCCCGGGGGTTATTATTTGAACAAATTTGAATCTTCACTACCTGAGGATGCTTCCATATAAATATGACCAATCATGGCTTTACTGTTTTTAAGAAGAAGATTTTAGAGATGTTTTCCTATATATTTCTATGTAAAACTTGGATCCCTCATTGTGGCCCCACCCTACCCCTGGGGGTTATGATTTGAACAAATTTGAATCTTCACTACCTGAGGATGCTTCCATATAAATATGACCAATCATGGCTTTACTGTTTTGAAGAAGAAGATTTTTAGAGATATTTTCCTATATATTTCTATGTAAAACTTGGATCCCCCATTGTGGCCCCACCCTACCCCTGGGGGTCATGATTTGAACAAACTTGAATCTTCACTACCTGAGGATGTTTCCATATAAATATGACCAATCATGGCTTTGCTGTTCTTAAGAAGAAGATTTTTAAAGATATTTTCCTATATATTTCTATGTAAAACTTGGATCCCCCATTGTGGCCTCACCCTACCCCCGGGGGGTCATGATTTGAACAAACTTGAATCTACACTACCTGAGGATGTTTCCACATAAGTTTCATCTTTCCTGGCCCAGTGGTTCTTGAGAAGAAGATTTTTAAATGATGCCATTATTTTTTCAATAATTCCTAATTATCTCCCCTTGAAAGAGGGCGTGGCCCTTCATTTGAACAAACTTGAATCCCCTTTACCCAAGGATGCTTTGTAGCAAGTTTGGTTGAATTTGGCCCAGTGGTTCTTGAGAAGAAGATGAAAATGTGAAAAGTTTACGACGATGCCAACGACGACAGACAACGGACAAATTTTGATCAGAAAAGCTCACTTGAGCCTTTGGCTCAGGTGAGCTAAAAAGGGCTAATAACAAACTAATACTTATGCCACTGCATTTCACAAACACTTTGCTGTTGCTACAACTCAGTTCTATACATAATCAAACATAATATTAACTTACATTTTTTGTACCAACAGTGATATAGCAAAGCTTTTTGGAGTTTACAACAACATTCATAACAAATCCTTGTAAAATTTGATGGTTAAACAAACTCTGATATAGGGAATTTGCGGATATATCTAAATGATATTGTGTCCCATAGAAGTTTAGAATAACAAAATCTACATCTTTTATAACGAATTTTGCTATAACCAATTTCTACCACAATACCAAATTGAATATTTTCCTCTAAATACAGAGGATGTGTCAGGCTTACTTGTAGATATAACTGAGGGTTTGTTCCAGAGTTTTGATTTTGTTAAACAGTTCTGACTGATCAGTCCATACATGGAGCTCCGTGGAGAGTTCGGGAACCACCAGAAATGTTCTCCATCCTCTCTGCTTCTTAGACCGCAGAATATCCCCAAATATATGGTCTCCCACATAGAGCACATCTTTACCCTGGGCACCAATCATCTGAGAGATGACCTCACAGGACCCTAAAAAAGATTCCAAATTGTATCACTTCTCCATCAAAATACATATACATGTATTGCACTGCACTTTCTGGTATATGCTTTATAGACACATTGTATGTAAATATACCATAAAAGAAAAGATTTTAGAGATGATTTTAGCGAGAGTGTCAAGATCACTAAAATTGAATACACGTACATGTATCACTAACAATTCATTCAGCAATGGATGTTACAGTTATCATTCTTGACCTCTTCAAATTACATGTACTAAAATTATCTCTCACTAAAACTATTACTGGTTCTTATGGGTAAATCACTAAATTTTGTGTCTCACTAAAAAGTCCACTTATAAGGTATTAGACTATAAATAATACTGACCTATAGACCTACACATTTAATATTGAATGCTTATAAAATTTGTAACAGTAAATATATCACTTTTTTTATTAAGACAAATGATACTTGAGATGTCTTTTTATATACTTCAATAAATCACTCGTATTTTTAGTGGTTTTTAATTAGCAAAACTAAAGCACTGAATTACATCCAAGACTTAATTTTTGTGTATCCTTCAATTTTACATTAAGACAATACATGAAACTACAGGTAAATAAAAATTCTTATGAATAAAATGTGATTGATAGTAACAGTTTTGATGGATGAACCAAATTTTATTTCTTGTCAAGTGAAAACACCTAATTTACCTCCTGAATATGCACAGTGTTGTTCAAGTTTCCCCATATGGTGACCAATACTTAGTTTACTGGAAGTCTGAAAGAAAAAAATTGTCACACTTGTAATACTATACAATCTTTAATAATCTTTCTTTACAAGGCAAGAATGCAAAAGTGTGTTGAATAAACAGTTTTGCAATTTCAAAGAATGGAAAAGTTCAAATAAACTTTAAAACATATACCTAACAAAGTAACACAGGAAGCTACAGTGTCAACATGCAGTCTGTGTGCTGAAATATACCAAACTGTTTACCCTTGACCTTTGATTAAGTATGTAAGGCTTCTTTCTTTAAATATTATTTACTTACATAGTAAAAATAAAGTCTACATTAAAAGATATACACATGTACCTCAATGACTTCAACATAAAATGTGTATTGGACATATTAACTGATGTGTAGATCTTTATCAAGTGACCCAAAATGTGTGTGCACTTTTTACACCTTAGCAGTAAACACGGTGTCAGTAAAAAGAATATCTCAGAAAATGTGCAATTTTCATATTACGGAAGCTCTAAATACTAATAAAAAACGTGGAGTTGTTTTTTGTTTTTTTTGACTTTAAGAAAATTGAATCATATAAAATTGTATATATTGAGTTCACTAGTTCACTTTCAACATCAGGTACCTGTCATATTTTGCCAGGAAAAATGTTCAAATTAAGTCAAAGAAATGTACCAATAAGTGGACAGAAATCACTGTTGCTTACTAACATTGTGAAAATACATGCAAATTATGTTTTCAATTACTTTATGTTGGTTTAATATAATGTTTAGAATACTTTAATCTATTTCATATTGTGTCATACAACAAAGGGCAGATCACCTTATGTGCATAAAATTACCAAGGAATTAGAACTCTTCTGTGAGCAGTGTTTAGAGCTTCCTTAATAATCTTGACTGAGGATCTTATATCATGTCATCTTCTAAGCATCTTACTTCTATAAAGTAAATATAAAATTTGCAGGTTTATAAATATCCATGTTATTACATCAAAAAATGAGTAATGGTCAAAAGAAAAGCTTAACTTAAGAATTTGACCTATCAAGTGACCCTCAAAATTATAGGTGTCATCCTCTGACTACTTAGAGAAAAGAAACTGTTATAAAAGTGTTCGCTGACAGACACACAGACAAAATGGTATTTACAATCAGGCACTCATATTTTAATACCGGTAACTGTCTGGATAATTGAAATAACTGTCTGACATTCAAATTTTAACTCACAGTGTCTACTTTTCTAAGGATGGTCCCTTCTTCAAAGAATAAAGGTTTCTTAGCATCCACAACAACATAATCAAAGTAAGATGTCCACTTTCTGCCTTTTGTCTAGAAAAGGAAATACATGTTAAGTTACAATATGTACACATACATGTACTTACAGAATTTGAGACTAATTCCACATATCAATAAACATTTCTTTTGAAAAATATGTACTATAGAACAAAATAATGGACCAATCTTGGTAAAAACCCACATCTATGCCTTCCACCGAGTTGTAAAACCAACAAACAATTTCTGGATTTGGGCCAACACAGGCCATAGAAATGAATATTAAATTACTTATTTAACGAGTTAATTCTCCTCATCATAGAAACCATTTGAGTGTCTGCAAATAATTTACGATATTGTGAAAAATACCAGATATTTAACATCTGTTTCGATGGATTTTTTCAGTTACCTCCCCCTACCCCCTCCCCTTTTATATCCCATATGTAATTTTAATTTTTAATGACTCTTACCTCTGGAAAGTCTGTCAGATATTCCATTATTTTCTAGATAAAGGGAAAAAATTATTTCACAATACATAAACAAATCATTTATCAACTTTAAAAATTCAACTTAAAGTCAGTAACATTAAAAATATACTTATCTATTTCAGATAAAATTTGGTTAAATACTGTAGTTACTAAAATACCCCCCAAAAATAAATGACTGGAATTTTCAAAGAATGATAATCTAACTTTAGAACTTACATTAGAATATTCGTAATCACTATTTGTGATAATCATGGTCTTCTTGCCACTTTCACGAATTCTATAAAGTAAAAGATAAAAGGTTCTGTATATATCTTGTAGGAAAGTTGTACATATACAACTAAGGAAAAAAAATATAAGTAACAAAAACACTATTAAAAAAATCTCATAAAAAAAACACACAATCCAGACACCTCAATATCATCTTGGAATTAGGGTTGAGGCCAAGAAAATGAACAAATTAGCAACAGTTTCAAAAACTGTGAATGTCACATCTAAAACTGAAGTAAAAATCACCTTTTCTTATGCACAAGCCTTGCCACTTGCAAAAAACTATTTGAAGTCAAATCAGATTTGTTTTTAAACAAGAATGTTAATTTTAATGCCCTTATGAAAACCACCCCAAGGTCAAATGAGTCACCAAAATAAATAACTTGTGCAATTCTCATACTATTTCTATTATTGACTTATATGTCTATTTGATTTTAATAATAAGTACAGACCCAACTGAAGAAAATCATCAGAAAATAAAAACCTTAATGTGTTGATTTCTAGTTTTGACTTTGTTTTACTCAAAATGGAGAAAAAGAAGAAAAAAAATTCAAAAGCCAATCATTTAAATTATCTACAAATAGTTTGATATCTTAAATTCTCCTTGTCTCAATGTTTAATAAGGAATTTACACCATCACATAAAGTAAAATTATATGGAACAGAGAAGAACCTCAACTCTTATTAAGTATATTATATTAAAATATTGAGCATTGTAATCACCTAGCTGAGATGTGCTTCTGAAGTCTATAGCTGAGAAAAATGCAAAGAAGTTTTGCTAATTTGTGTTGATGTCTGTCAACTGTCCAGTAAAATAAGCAATTTAGAGGTCCAGTACAATAGGCAGTCTTAGAGGTCAAGCTTACCTGTCCAGTACAATAAACAGTCTTAAAGGTCAAGCTTACCTTTCCAGTACAATAGACAGTCTTAGAGGTCAAGCTAACCTGCCCAGTACAATAGGAAGTCTTAGAGGTCAAGCTTACCTGCCAAGTACAATAAGCAGTCTTAGAGGTCAAGCTTACCTGTCCAGTACAATAGGCAGTCTTAGAGGTCAAGTTTACCTGCCCAGTAGGAAAAGCAGTCTTTGAGGTCAAGCTTACCTGCCCAGTACAATAGGCAGTCTTAGAGGTCAAGCTTACCTGTCAAGTAGAATAGGCAATCTTGGGTCTTTGTGAACATACTCCTCCAAATTGGCCAGAGTGTCCGTTTTCAAGTTTCCCTTTTGATAAGAAAGCAGGTCATAAAGATACTGAATTAAATATGATGTAATTCATTAGATGTAATTAATGAGGTGAATATTTAAAGCAATATGAGCTGCATTTTTGAGAATTTTATCTTGCTGTTAAAATGTGTTATTATGATAAATTTGTATGTAATTTAAACCTTTTTGATCAATTAGACAGAAATAAAGTATCAAATTGCTTCAGAATAAAGGATTCTGTACAATCAAATGTATAGTTTTAGATAAGAAATCAATATTGTGCAGGATGACAATAATGTAATTTTGCTTCAATCAAAGCTTATAAATAGTTCTTCCATCACAAATATGAATAACAGAAGTTTAAAAACGTTCTTTTTTTCTGTCATTGAAATAGTTAATTACAATTTTGCAACAAAAATTTTGGACATCAAAGTTGCAGCTCATATTGCTTTAATACACTGATTATTTCCATGATAATCATAATTAATTAGTGTCGGCTGAAAATGAAGTAATCTTTCCATGTGCAACAATATGTGGCTTTACAGGCAACATGTAACATGTATCTTATATATGCTAACTTATACTGAATGAATAGTTCACATAGTTAGCAATACATATGTTGAGACAGTTGACATAGAAATGGATCTAGTCCTGTGTAGCTATAAACATTAAATAACTTACATAGAAACGGATCTAGTCCTGTGTAGCTATAAACATTAAATAACTTACATAGAAACGGATCTAGTCCTGTGTAGCTATAAACATTAAATAACTTACATAGAAATGGACATAGTCTTCATGAGTAGCTATAAACATTAAATAACTTACATAGAAATGGACCTAGTCTTTATGTGTAGCTATAAACATTAAATAACTTACATAGAAATGGACCTAGTCTTCATGTGTAGCTATAAACATTAAATAACTTACAAAGAAATGGACCTAGTCTTCTTGTGTAGCTATAATCATGTATACACTGAAATTACTTACATAGAAATGGACCCAGTCTACCGCAGACCTGACATCTTGGAATATTGACTTGTAGGACATATACAGCTCCCCACACCTCACCCCCTCTGTTGACCTGTAATACAGAGTAACACAGCCTTTATTACTGACCATGTAAGGAAATATCTATTATCAGACATGTGAAAGCACATGTGGTTAAAAAACAAAGGAGACAATATTTGGCTAGTGTACAGCTAAGCCATTAACTGTCCTTTACTTCAATTTTAAAGTAATTCTGAAAATTTATATTTTTCACTAGTTTAATTTTTCGTAAAATTTACATGACATTGTAGGCATTGTCAGCCATAAGCATATTTTTGAGGCTATTTTAAATTATATGCATCTAGTAGTTGATCTAAATGAACAACTTTTCAGGTTAAAAGGATCATACAAATTTGTATGTAAACTGAGTCCAGAAGTTTTAGTCATAAAGCAATTAAATTGGAGTTGCCAATGATGCCGATTAAAAAATACCTTCACCTTAATCTAAAGCTTACAAAAAAATTAGTAATAATCCATATTTTGTGAGATTTTCATCAATTTTGAACATTTTTTATATTGACAAACAGAAGAATGCAGGATCTAGACATCAGTTCATGCAGTGTTCTTAGGGCATGCATACCTGAACCTAATGACAATCTTATAGTTATAGTGAGATACACTCTCTCAGGGACTGTGTCACACTTTATCATGGGTTTACAAATCTCATTAACATTCGTGTCAATTATATAAACATTTCCAGCCTACATGGTACCACAAATAGAAGTAAAATAGTACACTATTCCTTTAAACATATTTTCTGAAATCAAATGATGCTTTTATACTTTAGGAAGAATAGAAATTTTTCTTGTACACATGCAAGCAGCAAATGTTTGAAGTAACAACTTTTCATCTGGGTCAAAAGTGAAGAACTATATAAACTTGTTTGGGGTGGTTTAAACATTTCCAAAGATGAATTATAACAGAAATCTTTAACACTTTTCTCTGAAGATCCTTACCTAGACATACTTAACTGCCCTTACTTGAGGGACACGTTTGACAGCCGTGAGGCACCCAGGGGGTGTCTGCTCCGTCTACCTGTCAAATAGGGGAAAAAAATCGTCCCAGCTGTCCAAAGGTGATCAATGCTAATGAACAGTATAACAGCACTGCAGAGTCTTTAAGAATACCGAGATATTTTCCCTCGAGCTAGATCAATGTACCAAGTTTTGACATGAATTACATCTATTAAAAACTTTATCAAAAGACTGAATGAAAAATGAATTTCATTACATAATTTTCTTTAATCCAATATCTATTATTGCCAGAGAATAGATATAGGCAACATTTTTATTATACCCTGCCACTTGACATTGATGGGAATCAGAAATTTGGAGAATTTTGGAAATACATCAATCACTGAGAAGGTTTAATATATTAATACTTGGTAGGTCTCTAGCTCCGAGATCAGGAAGAGTAACTCTGCAGTGCTAACTACCTTGTGTCCCTTGATTCATGTGATGTATGTAAGAAATAAATAATATAGTAAGGAAAACCTACCTCTCAAATTCTGTACTGGTTGTGAAGTAATCAATCAGGCAGGCAAGCATGTAGGTTTCTGTAAACAGAACAGTTTAGATTAATGATCTACCCTATATAAAACTTATGTACCTAATGAGAGAGTCCTGGATGTAAACTGCTATCACAGGTACAGAAAACACAGTTATTTTTCACTATTAAAAATACTACGTGTATTTACTTTGACAATTTTTTTTCAGAGCGAATATTTCAACAAAATGATGATCAGCTTCAATGTGACTATTATAATACCTGGGAGGTGAAATAACGTGTTGAGAACATAGACTCTCTTCTCATCCAGGTTGATGTACTTGTTGGGATATAATTCTCCTATTTCTGACCTGAAAACAGAATGGAAAAACAATATTACAACAAAATCTAACTATAAACTACTCCTCTGATGATAATCTTATACATTATGATAAGTAATAAGTATGTCTAAATCAATGTTAAAACAACTCATTTACGAGTTTGTGTAACATATATTTACTTCATGATTGAAATACATGTTTGAATTCAGTTTCCCATTGCTAATGGCAGACTGTAAAAACTTCCTTAATAATGGCCTGAATGTCCAAGTTTATTCCCTTTCATGAATGAATTCAATATATATATATATATATATATATATATATATATATATATATATATATATATATATATATATATATATATATATATATATACCTGTATTTCATTCTGAAGTAAAATAAATATGTTTTAGTTACAACATCAAATATTGCTATAAGGCTGTCCTGAATAAATCCCACGTTCTACATCATCTGCATGCATTGACTTCTGCTTAGATTACATTTTTAAAGAAAAAAAAACAAATACTGGCTTTTTTTCAATTTGACTGGCACCTGTTGATAAATTAATAGTGAAATTTTTATAAACTTTTGATGTGAGTAACAAAATATTTAATAAATTATTATTTTGTTTCATATATGTTTATTAACTCAGAAAAGTGAATTCAATTCAAGTAGCATTTTGTTTGAAAGTGTGTTAATTTTTGTCTTCTCAAAGGTGTTTGAACATAATTCTGATGTAAAATGTAGAATTCATTTAAGATGGCCTAACTAATCATTAAATAAAATGATGATGTGTTTCATCACTCATAATCTTAACCAATACTGTAAATGTGGACATTTTCTCATAGAAAAAAAAATTGTGAATTGTGCATCAGTAAAGTATCCGGAATTAATAACAAGTGAATGGTTTAAGGCTTTGTTTCATGGAACTTGCAAAATTTTACTCTGAAAAAATATCCACATTTGCAGTTTAAACAGAAATAATCAAGAATAAATAAAACTCAATGGGACCAATAAAATTCATCCTTGAATAATCACTGAAGAAATGAAAACATACTCACTAGAATGGAAACAGACAATAAAGAGTCTGGTGTGTTTCACCATGCATCCTGTCATAGGCATTCAACTAACAAGTCAAACATCAACAAACTCAACTAATACCCTTATTTGGGCAAAGGGGGGGGGGGGCTTAAAGTAGGTCATAATTCAGAGAGTGCATAACTGCATTATGCTCCTGATATTTTCTAAAAATATCATTATGATTCTTAATATTAAAAAAAATCTAGTTCATTTTAAAACTTGAGTTAACATAACCAGAGTATTATAAATAAAAGCTATGGCCTTGATAGTTTTCAAAATGCCTTTTAATTCAGTCATATGACACAACCTAGAATAATATGCAAATCTAATGCTTTTTATCCAAGACAAAGGGTGGGACAAGCAAACAGCTAGGTGATTACAAATTCTGCTTCATGTGGGTAATGATTAACCACTTTAAAATTCATCAAAGAATTTGGAAAATTATGAGTCTTTTTACTCACCCTTTCAGAAATTTGAAGCCATGTACACAGACCAAAATGTTTCCATATGCATCCACTTTCAGCAGGTTTCCAAATTGTTTGTCAAACCACAGTCCCCTGAAAAGAAATATTCACCTTCTCTTAATTGATGTTAAGTTTAAGATTTTTCACTGTACGTTTTTGATTACAAATTAGTCCAACAAAATACTAGGTTCACTTTATGCATAAAATGGCCATGTTCTTGTATCAATTAATTGATTATCACGGTATTCACCCTCTGTCCCATTTCATATATCAAAATAAAGTACAGACGTAGCGGTCTCATTTCCTATAACTCAATTTCTTTTTGAGAATTCAGGTATTGGAAAACAGATTTTGTGAAAATGCAATGTTCTTGAATTTTGCAGAAAACAGGCATATTTGAATACATTCAACAAAGAATTAAAATACGAGCACAGCCCTTGATCCAAAAATTAAAACATGTTTTATGATCTTAGGAAACAGACCTTTCATTACATAATTGCATATTTTGGATCAGAGGTTGTGCTCTATATGAAATATTGAAAAAATACTCCAACTTTTGGCCATTTTTAAAGGAATTTACAGGATATGGTAAAAATGACGAATTCCGTGACGTCATAATGCACTGACTATGGAGAAAATTACATCATGTTCAATAGATACACAGTCACCAAGGGTCCAAGTGATAAATACCATTGTCAACCAAAACTGAGCAGTTTCGATTTTTCAGAAACTCACAGGGCCTAAAAAGGCCCTATGTGGCCCTTGCTCTTTTAGTGGTGTTTTAATAAGTCATTACATTATATATATTTTAAAATGAAATTTTGAAGAGTTCTAGCATCCTTGTTAACTTTTGCTCTTGAACTTTATATCATACTCTTCTTTCCCTCATTTTAATAATTTCTAAACATGATACAATGATAAACAGCAGAGAAATCAGAAAATATTTTAAAGACTACAGTCTTATACAAATTTTCATTTTTTACCCATCCAATATCAAACTTATCAAATGATGAGATTTCTAAAGAATTTTAAAAAATTATGCTTCAATTAAACTTTTTTATTTCCAGTAATGGTAGACAATATAATGCTATGTCTATCTTGTTTGTTACATATCAAATATTGTGGGATCATATTAATTCATGGGGGTCCATGTTCATGGGCAACCAAAATTTTATTGGTGGGTAACTTTGATATTCAAAAGATTCAATGAACAGATACATTGACAAAGTTATCATTTGTACTGATATAAATCTGTGGGTAAAGGTGACCTATGAACATTGGTCCTCCATGAACAATGATGATTCCAAAGTATACAATGTACAGTAGGTACATTTTAATATGCATATAGGACTACTGAAAACTATTTACCTGCAAGGAAATTTGGGGTCATATTCAAATTCTTTGATGTTTGCTGGATAACCAATAGTTATCAAACGTTCTTTCAACATGTTGAATCCCATTGTCTCATATTGAGGGGATTTATACACTGTTATAAAGAGAGAGAGAGAGCAGTTAAGTCTACATGTATATATACAACTCATACCTAGAAAGTTATCTTTTACCATAAGCCAGATATTAAAATGATATCATCACCTGTTACACTTTATTCTTTTTTCTCCTTAACTTACTTTCACCTTGTACAAAGAGAAGTTCAATTCATGGCCATTCTATTTTTAGGTTAAAAGAAACTTTCAACCGTTCACTACTATTGTTTCAAGGTAAAAAAAAGAAAGCAGTGTTTTGCCTGTCAGTGACACTGAATTTATCCAATTGACCTTGAATCAGGATCCTGATATATTCTACAAGTATAGTCAATTTTTGAATTTTTTGTGCATTCAAACATTCTTGGGTAAAGCCCTAATACAAAGATAGCACCTGTACTGCAGTTGACCCTGAACTTGCCTAAATGATACTTGGTCAAGGCCATGAAACATCTGCCATATACAGTCTTTGAATACTAGTGTCTTAAGTGTTTTCATCATCAAATTTTGTCCTGAACACAATTTCGACACACACATAGGCACTTGGTAGTAGTGCCCTTGAACTTGCAATTTGCCATGACTTTATATCAAGATCATATCACATGCCAAGCAAACAACTTTTTTCCTACTATAGTGACTTTTAATTTGCTCTAAAAGACCTTGCATGAGGGCTTTGAATGTCAAGAGACCTTTGTGTGAGCTTCCAATATACAAAGTAATGGTACAGATTGCATAAAAACTTATAGACACATAAAGCAACGTAATTCCTATCTAGCTACTCCCCCCCCCCCCCTCCCCTTCAACACACACACACACACATGCTCACTTTCCCAAACTTTGTTTGCAAGGGGATTTAAATTCACTCGATCCTTGTTATTTCATCACATACTAAAATAGAGCAACAATTCAGGTACAGCATTTCGATGTTCTACATGTACTAGTATATAGTATTTCAATGCATGTGAGGTAAGGAAATGAAAAACTGAAAGCCCAATTCCTGAGATTCAAACCTGCAAGTGTGTAATCCATATCAAAACCAAAGAACTTGATCTTGTCCAGATTCAAACTTCTGTTTACAAACACTCTGAAAACAAAACAAAAACAAAAAGGTCAATAACATATCCAAATTAATCCTCAGATAAATCTGTGAAATCAAACTTCACAAAGATTAATTTTTGGATAATTTCTTTAAATTCAACTTGATAGTTTTAAAAATTCATTACTAGTATATTTTTGGTTAATTAAACATTCATAACAATTTAAACTAACAGTGCAATTTAGAAACCTTTGCCATAAAAAATAAGTGATTTATTGACATTATATTCACCTTTTGTGGTCTATCATCTTTACTGATCAAGGTAATATTACAAAGAGTAGGTGGAATCCCTTTATATAGTTAACCTAATGTTCTGATGACATTGTAATGTTCTGACTACAAACAGGAGTGGTTTAAACTCTCCTTGCATGAACATTCATTTAATTCATCAAACAGCTTATTCAACACAGGTTTACAACCAAGGTGGAATACAAACATTCCACACAGTGATAAGTATCATGTTGATAAATTACAAATATGGGGGAAACTGTCTCTATAACTATAACTGGCAATGTAGATAATCTGCATCCATGTATTTAAACTAGATATATTGAAATACTGAATTTTATTTTTATATGAAACATGTTAATATGTAACTCTTGAACACAAATTTTCCCAGCATGGTATAACCATAATATCCTCATTTCAAAACACCTGTACTGCTCAAACAATATATCATACAGCTATACTTTCCTCAATGATGTAAATATATTCCTCAACAAAGTACAGCTATACTCCTCAAAACAGCAAAGCTATTCCTTAACAAAGAACAGGTATATATACCTAAACACAACATATTTTTATTCCTCAACAAAGTAGTTATACATGTATTCCTCAAAACAGCATAGCTATATTCCTCAACAATGATGTAATATATTCCTCAACAAAATAAAGCTATACTTCTCAACACAGCATAGCTATATTCCTTAACAAAGTACAGCTATACTTCTCAGCACAGCATAGCTATATTCCTCAACAAAGTACAGCTATACTTCTCAGCACAACATAGCTATATTCCTCAACAAAGTAAAACTAAATACCTAAACATAACACAGTTATATTCCTCAACAAAGTACAGCTTTACTCCTCAACACAGCATAGCTACATTCCTCAACGAAATACAACTATACTCTGTAACACAGTGCAGCTAAGCTGACCTCAACTCAGTCCGCCTAATAATGAACATAGTACAACTATACTCAATACAGCTACATGTATATTCCTCAAAACACAGTATAGCTTATTTTACCCAGCATGTACAGCACAGCAAACAATCCTCTACACAATAGAGTTGTAATTTCCAAATTGATTCAATTACCCAGTATATACCCTAGTGGCTACATGCGGTGTAGTGTAGCTACATTCATTAAAACGGTGCAGCAATATTCCCCACCGTACCATCTCATTGCTTCAAAACAGCAGAGCTACCACTGTATCTCCACTTGATTACCTGTGACTGGGTTCTCGTTTCCAGACCTCAATATCCGACACCCCATTACTAAGGCTCTCCTCCAGGGGCCTCTTTTCCTGGGTGGCCTGGCTCGACTTGGAGACATGAGTTGTCATGGTTAATCAATAGCTATTAGAAGGTCTGCAAAAGAAAAATGCATACAGATGAATCATATACTATATATACCAAAAGATAAACTTCATGCGTGAAGAAATTTTTGTCATTATTTTTGGCACAATTATTCAAGAAACCCTCCTATTTATAACAGTCAATTCAGGAAAAAATCATGTCATTCCTTAATAAGTCTGTCAACTTACTGACTTTCCAAATTTAATTAGAGCTATCACCGACTAAATCAACATCTCATTTACATGTCTCAAATCACGTACACTGCTACCTTAATCTGAGTCATTCCTAAATTTTATTATGTAACACCAAAAGGCTATGTTGTCTTTTTGTACTATTTAGCCATATGTGTTGCAATGTAGAACAACCAACATTTTACATTTACATTAACAATTACATTAACTTACCACATTATCTACTATAAACCCTATCTGAATCATCTTATCATATAAACATATTATAGTGTATCAAATTAACTCTATTTCCATACACTAACCCTATTTTTCTTAAATAATTGTCATTTTATACATTAATATAATAGGGCTTCTTTTACTAAATCAAAGGTATCAGAATATTAAGATACTCTTAATATACAGTTAATTCTCTTCACTTTCTATAGCATCAAAAACATTAAAAGCAAAATGAAATGTAAAAAATATGGCTTGTAAATAATCTCCACCAAAGAACAAACACTGTATATATACATTACAATGTACTGTTTCTAGCACAGTTTTTCTACATAAAAACACATTTGAAAATCCATCATATAAACCACTGAAAAATCAAAATATGTTCTCAGAGACTATATAAAAATCAACATTAATACAAGTATGTCCTGCTCTATCTCAGAGATGTCCGAGTATAATCCTAAATCATTCACTGTTGTACACATTTCAACAGGTCTCAGATTTCAAATGGTGACATTTTTTTTTCTTCAATTTTTTTTAGAGCAACTCTAGACATGAAATATAGCAAAATGATATATAGAACACTCTATATACTTACATTATAATGATAATCACTAAAACAATGCTGACTGAATCAATGTCTGCTGTGTTTCACATATGTGATGGCAGGTCACTTTGTGAATTATGAGGTACCAGCTTGATACGTTCAAGATAACACTCTCTGCAGTGTCACATCAGAATATATGTCACATATAGGTAAAGTGGTATTGTAACAGACATTGTAAATAGATCAAGGTAAAACATATCACTGAAAAGAAGCATGACTGATAAACTGTACAGCAGAGTGTACATAGCTGAATTATCTACCTTTCTATAGGATTATATAAGGAAACACTATTTTTTGCACATTTCAAAGCAAAAATATGTGCTCCATCCCATCCCATGTGGCAATATTAACAAGAGGCCCAGGGGCCACATCGCTCACCTGAGCACTGTGGCTAGGAAAAAAGCAAAAAATCAGTTTAGTATTGCAATGCTTAAATGCATAAGTGGCCCCGACCTTCCCCTTAAAGGGGGGGGGGGGGGGAGGGGGGGTATGATTTGAACAAAATTGAATCTACATTAACTAAGGATGCTTACATATTTATTTGACTGTGACTTTTTTCCTACATGTTTAAACTTTCATTGTGGCCCTTACCTACCCCTGAGGGTCATGATTTGATCAAACTTGAATCTACACTATCTGAGGATGCTTTCATATAAATATGACCAATTATGGCTGTGCTGTTCTAGAGAAGAAGATTTTTAAAGATTTTCCCTATATATCCCTATGTAAAACTGTGATCGTCCATTGTGGCTCCACCCTACCCCCAGGGGTCATGATTTGAACAAACTTGAATCTACACTACCTGAGGATGCTTCCATATAAATATGACCAATCAAGGCTTTGCTGTTCTTGAGAAGAAGATTTTTAAAGATTTTCCCAATGTATTCCTATGTAAAACTTTGATCGCCCACTGTGGCCCCACCCTACCCCTGGGGGCAGGGTTGGCCGGGAAATACCAGTGGTGGGAATTACCAGTGGTAAATACCGGTATTTCCCGTCCCGGGAAATACTACAAATTTTCTCTAAACTGGGAAATACAGGCTGGGGGTCATGATTTGAACAAACTTGAGTCTACACTACCTGAGGATACTTCCATGTAAGTTTCATATTTTCTAACACAGTGGTTCTTGAGAAGAAGATTTTTGAAAGATGCCATAAATTTTTCATGAATTCGCAATTATCTCCCTTTGGAAGAAGGCGTGGCCCTTCATTTGAACAAACTTGAATCCCCTTCACCCAAGGATACTGTGTGTCACGTTTGGTTGAAATTAGCCCAGTAGTTCTGGAGAAGATGAAAAAGTGAAAAGTTTACAACAACGACAACAACACCAACGCCAACGACAACGACGACAGACAACGGACAAATTTTGATCAGAAAAGCTCACTTGAGCTTTTGGCTCAGATGAGCTAAAAAGGGAACAACTTCAAATTTATATTGTCTGTAATGATATAAATGAAAATAATTGGTCATCTACTAGTCAGGGGCAAACATAATACTAAGTTTGATCTATATTAACATGATTAAACCTCATTATCATTAGTGGTAATTTACTTCTTAGAAGGTACTAGTGTACCAAATTTGATGTCTGTATTAAAACCAATGGATCTCAAGATACTGAACTGACAATATCTTCTGTGGTCTAGTACGTATCAATGTTGTGTGACCTTTAACCTTGTGACCAAAATTTAACAAGGGTCATCTGCTCCCCAGGGGGAGCCAGTGTACCCCCTAAAAAACTTCAGTTTATATTGTAATATCATATATACACAATGATGACATCCACTTACCTATCAATTCAAAAATCATTTTAAAAGAAAATGATCTTTTTAATTTATTTTTTTCACTTTTGTTAAGTTTGAAAAATGCATATTACAACAATTAATTTAGGAATGTCAAAACACTGTTTTCACTAAATTGTGTAAATTATTGCTATGAAAATCCAAGTCAGCCACCTTAAATTTGTTAAACAAATGATGTGTCCATTCTTAGTCTTGCATCACTTTTACTTGGCTTAAGACCAAAAAATGCAAAAGTAACACTTAAATTGTTTAAATTTATTCATTTTCAATAAATGAGGAAGGTTTTGTATGCATATGGAAGCAAATGATAGTTTAAAAGATAATGGACTGGCAATAATTTAACTGTGGAGTAATCATACTTTTCCATGCATCATCACACATATTTATAAACTTTGTAAAGCATCACAAGGACCTAGATTATGTAATGTTATGACAGCATACATCAATATAAAGTTTGGTGTTGTAAATGCATGAAAAGAATGGCTTCCAAATGTTGTACACATTTAGAACCTGATCTTGTTAATGAAGCATTTGGTCAATTAAGAGTCTTTGGTGGCATTAACAGGTTGGGCACTTATCACCAAATGTGATTGAACCCCTGTTTGGTGGTCAATCGCCCATATCGGAGTCAGATTTTACTGATCAAGTGGTCTTTTTTATTCTAATCCAATTTTTATTAAAATAACGCAAAGGCGCATTGACATAGTGTAACATCTTTTCTTTATTTTCTTTTAGGATGAAGGTACAATTTCTGTGCAAACCTTAGTGGATTATTATGCATATTTACGATGAATCTATTCTATTTATTCAATGGCTTTGAATAAAGATTTACAAAGTGATAGTTGCAATTATTTTTCTTTTTATTCCAATAACATCATTTTGAAGCAATAATTTTATCATGATCTCGCTGTATATCCTATTTTTATAAAGAATAAAGCCATTGCATACAATATAAAATGAAATAAAAGTGACCTCTCATCTTTCCTTTTACCGGTATTTCCCAATTGAAAATTGACACTATTATGTGCCTCCGTAGCCTTAAATCAGTCTTTTGAGAGGTTCAGAAGAGATCATCATTTTTTATTGCTGGAAATAATTTAATTGGTTGCCCGGATTATAGAAATGGAAAGTAAGAAACATGATCAAGAGTTACAACAAAGTTTGGGAAGGAGGGATTTTTTTTTAAGTAAAAACACAGAAACATAGGTGACCATTTTGTCAAATATTTGAAAGACACTGCTCCCCCCCACCCCACCCCCCCAAAAAAAACACTGTGTTGAATTTCCAATTTTATTTCGTTCAGAGCATTGATAAATATCTATATTTTATTCCCCACAAATTAAAATTATGCGTCATTAGGAATTTCATGCCATTCCACAGAAATGAACGATTTTTCTTCTCCCAAATGGTCAGTAAATACTGACTCCGATATTAGGGCTGTGCATTGAGCAAAATATTTCGATATGATACAATACAGGTAACACTCATTCAATACCTCGAAGTCCACGGAACCGAGGAAAAACTTTGAGAGATCAAGAGTTAGAGTTTTCAAGAGTCCGGATTTTCCGGGTTGGTTGACAGGTTTTTAAAATTAGTTTTACCGGATGTAATGATTTTCCTTCATTTCCATGCAGTGCTAACCTTTTACACGTGTTATTTTTATAAAACAACGATGTTATTTCGCATTTTTTGGTGAATATTTTATTAAACTGAGTAAAGCAAAAAATGTATATCGTCATTTCACGTATATTTAGACTATGTAATACGAACATCATACTACACATTTGCTAAATGAAAACAACATTTTACAGCTTCGTACATAGCATTGACTTTTTGTACATGTTGATACCAAACATGATCTATAAGTATTTGTCCAGCAATAGTCGTAATATTGAGATTGAGGCTGTTATGCAGTTTCCAACTTTTCATTTTTTCAATAAAAATAAAATTAGTGTCTCATTTTGTAATCTATTTTTCGCTGCGTCTCTAAATTATCGTAAGACATTTGATGTTAATTATCTTTATAGCAGATAGGCAAAATATGATTAATTATTTAAATCAATTATCACCTTGCAGTATAAGCGTCACCTGAAAAAAACATCCCGTTCCTTGAGTACCGCGTCTTCTGCCTGGGGCCACTTAAATGTCCAGGTTAAGGTGTTAATTATGTAACCTTGTGTACACATAGCCACTTCAAGGTATTGAGGGTAAATTCCAATAGAAAATACATAGAGGGACTGCATTTTGACTTAGAGGGATCAAGGGTTTCGAGAGATCAAGAGTTCGAGAAATCAAGAGTAAATTTGCTTACATGTAGTTATACAGGGGAAAAATTTGGGACCTGAGACTCACTTCGAGCGATCAAGAACTTCGAGAGATCGATGTTCGAGCCATCAAGAGTTACCTGTATTTTATACAGCGATATGCAATATATTGGATTCTTTAACAAGTCTATCAAAAAAGTCTTGTAAATCACTAGGTGTTTTATTAATTACCAAACTGGAAGTTCATGTCTCACTGTCTTTACAAAGTACACTTCAAATTCAAACTTTTAAAGACTGTAAAACTAACATGTTAAAATATAGTTGTCTTTGTATTTTTTTTGATAAGGTAGTTATTTAAGATGTGCTATCTCCTTAATCATGTTAATGTGTATTTCATTACTGATCAGTTTTAATTCAAAACAGTTAAAAATAACCTTTGGTGACTGAAATTATCAATTTTTTCACAAAATTAAAACAAAAACTTCCTGCCCAATACGTATTGGAAGTTATTCTCTCGATACGATACATTCCAGAGTATCGATACGTATTGATTAATCAATATATTGACACAGCCCTATCCTGTATGGGTGATTGACCACCAAACGGGGGTTAAATCACCCTTTGGTGTAGCTAGAATGTTCTATCATTAAAATGATATTTTCCTACGGACCGGGTTTAAAGATAACTCAAACTCAGTGCATTTACAGCGTGTAAATTTGAAGCGAGAAAAAACGTTGAGAAAATGAGTTGAATTTTCATCTTTATATGGATTATTTTTTAGGTTAAAAGGCAAATACAATCTCAAAAAGGTTTGTTATGAATAATTTGGTAGTTATTTTCAGTGCAACTCCTTTTGTATACTTCAAAATCATTTCAGAGCGGATCCACTTCAATTTGCTACATTGCAAGTATATGGGACATATTTTAACTGTGATCAGGGCTTGTCCCGAGACACAGATAGATTATTCTAACTACCTTTGGAGGTGTGTGCCCAACCTGATTAAGAGCAA